GGGATCACGTGAGAAAACCACACACGAAAAATGTTCGCATAAGATACGGCAAAAATGTAAAGGTATGTTGATGTTTAAATTAAATACATTTGATTATTGTATTATTTCGTGTTCTATACTACAGGTAATGTCGCTGTTGTGGCCTTGAAGCATTGAAGATGCTAGGGATCACCAGATCTCCAGATCCAGTGAGAAAACCACACACGAAAAATTTTCGCATAAGAGACAAGTAAGGTTGTCTGAACCTAATTATTCGTCTATTAATGTAAAACTATTATCTGTATTTTTTAATTTTTACCAGTTTAATTTTGGATGCTTTCTATTTTGCGATAAGCATGTTTTCTTGGATTGAAGGAAAGCAACAAAAGTAAAATGAAAGTAATGTATCAATGCAAATTGCTATACCTAACTGTATTTCTACGCAATAGAATAATCTGTGGATGAACGAAAATACTCTTCTATCAATGTGAAACTATTAACTGTATTTTGTTGTTGTGGCTAATATTCAAATTTGTAATTGCGTATAGAATTTTTGTTAAGAGCACATTGCGAAACACTTTGATTGATCGAGAACAAAATGAAAGGGCAAAAGCCACAGCGGGAACATGTAAGGAATATAAAATAATAAGTGCAGTTTTTTAGTTAAAGGTTTGTGTTTTATCTCAGTCACACATCATTGCGACAACGGCAAAAATGCTGAAAATGTTAATTTCGATTTTTAGACCGTAGTTATAAGTTATATTTTAATTTATTTGTTATCCATTTAATTAGTTTTAGATTAGTAGCAAGTAACTCTTGTTGTTGAAAATTTACATCAGTAAATACTTAAATATATGAATAAACTAATAAGAGGAAATAAAGTATCGTTTTTCTTTCGTTACATATATGTATGTATATTCCCTGAACATACCATATACATTCACTGAACATACACATGTACATTCACTGAACATATTAACTCTGACAGATTCCTGGGACATGCATGGAATGTTCATAATATAACTCATGTATGTCTCAGGAATATGCATGTACATCACATGAATGTTCCAGGTATATTCTGGGAATATCATTTTGCTATGTGGGTTGTATGTCTGTCATTGATTACCGCGGAGTTTTATTGTAGGAAGGACCAGCAAATCTCGAAAGAGGATGAAATTTAACCATAAATCCTCTTTCCCGCGTTTGGGTTGATAGGTAGGCAAAATACCAACCGTGTGTTAGTAAGGAAAATTACTTTCTCGCTGATCAAGTTTTTTATAAATATTTATTTAATTTACAATTACTTTGTTTCAGTGCCCTATCAAGGTGCAGCAGACATGCCGAAGGAACAGTCGGTTTTGGCTTGGCAACACAATAACTACATGGGTGATTCAGGAATACACTCGGGGGCTCAAACCCAAGTCCCTTCTTTGACCGGAAAGGAAGAAGAAGATATGGATTTATTTGATTTAGACCAGGTAAGTTACAAGAAAAAGTTTTTTTCTATTGTTGCACTTCTCTCATCTGCTAATGGCAGTGTTGCAACAAATAGAAAAATTAACAAAAACACGTTTGGTAAACGTAGGGTAGCTATTCGGGATTTACTCAAGATCAGGTCGACGACATGAACAATCAACTGAACCAAACCCGGTCTCATCGAGTTCGAGCGGCGATGTTCCCAGAAACTTTAGAAGAAGGTTTGTATTTTTGCAGTTTTATTTTTTTTATAATACGCATTGTACAGGCTACTACTTTTGTAAACTTTAGAAATAACTAAAGCGAAGCCCGAACAATTGCGTCGTCGCAGTTCTTTTGGATCGGTTTTTAATTAAAAAGTAAATTATCCTGTGTTCCGGAGATTTATTCGCCTCTGCGAAATCCATACCTATTCATTATACATACATGTATATGTATCCTTGTTAAATAAAAAAAGTGCGACTTTTGTAAAAATACATCTCGATAATTAACTTTACGGAGCATCTAAAATATTAATAGATCGACTATGTAATTTTTGACAGTTGAAATCCAATAAGATCACACATTTTTCGTTACCAATATAAGTACAATACACATTTTTTATAATTTAAAGTATTCTTATTTTCATTTTAAAGGACTTGAGATTCCGTCTACGCAATTTGAGGCAGGACATCAAACGGCTGTTCAACGTCTAGCCGAACCCAGTCAAATGTTAAAGCATGCGGTGGTAAATTTGATTAATTATCAAGATGATGCTGAACTGGCCACAAGAGCAATTCCGGAATTAATAAAACTGCTGAACGATGAAGATCAAGTGGTTGTGTCTCAAGCGGCTATGATGGTGCATCAGCTATCAAAGAAAGAAGCATCTCGGCATGCTATAATGAATAGCCCTCAAATGGTTGCAGCTTTAGTTAGAGCCATTTCGAATTCAAATGATCTTGAAACAACAAAGGGTGCTGTTGGTACTCTGCATAAATTATCACACCATAGGCAAGGTTTATTGGCTATTTTTAAAAGTGGTGGAATACCTGCTTTAGTGAAACTCTTAAGTTCTCCGGTGGAAAGCGTTTTATTCTATGCCATCACCACTTTGCACAACCTATTGTTACACCAAGATGGTTCCAAAATGGCTGTACGACTTGCTGGTGGCTTACAGAAAATGGTGGCACTCTTGCAGCGAAACAATACAAAATTTTTGGCTATTGTAACGGACTGTCTGCAGATACTCGCTTATGGAAATCAGGAAAGCAAACTTATTATCCTAGCATCACAAGGGCCCATCGAATTGGTTAGAATCATGCGATCTTATAACTATGAGAAGCTGTTATGGACCACGTCTCGTGTATTAAAGGTAAAACACATTTATATTACTAATACCATGTCTGATGGTTTTGTACAAGAAATATATCATTTAGAAGCACTACTTCGGAGAAAAAGCACAACAAAAGAACAAAACACTTGTATTTATCTGGTTCACGTGTAATTGTCGACCCTGATTATTTTGGATTCTCAGTTCCGAATTACCGAATATGATTTAATTACTAACCAATAACATCAATGTGGTTCATATTTTTAAACGGGTTGTTATTACAGGTTCTATCAGTGTGCTCCAGCAACAAACCGGCAATTGTTGAAGCTGGCGGAATGCAAGCTTTGGCTATGCACCTCGGCAATTCCAGTCAACGACTAGTGCAAAATTGCCTCTGGACCTTAAGAAACTTATCGGATGCCGCTACTAAAGTTAACGGACTGGACTCCCTGTTATCGTCTTTGGTGCAAGTTCTTGCATCCTCCGATGTGAATGTAGTTACATGTGCTGCAGGTAAGGCGAACGAAAATTAATTTCTTCTAAAAAGTTCTTGCCAGGAACAGTATTATCCGTATTCCATCTTCGTACAAAAATATATTTTTAAATTGAAAGCTAATTCAATCAAACAGGTCAACAAAAATATAATGAAAAATAGCAGCAACATAAAACAGCTGACAATAGAAAATATTTCGTTAATTATGTTCTCTGTTATAAATAAGCAGAAAAAGCAACAAAGTTACTGATAAATAAATATTCGGACGCACTTTAGTACAACTATCTTGAATCGAACTTTACTAAGAAGTGCCTTGTATTATTCTGAGTTGAACGAATTTCAAATTTCAGTTATTTTTGCGTTTATTTGTTTAATGCAACTGTGCGCTGGGGATCGTTACGCAATGATTACTTTATCTGATGCCATAAAGTTTGTATAACATTCAAGTCCGAACTGCTTGAGGACCACATCAAAACTTTCAAATTATGATCTCCAAATCACTTTTTCATCGATTTAGCTGTGTGGGAACGCGCACCATCCTGTTGAAATATGCAATTTCCATTTCCAGAATATTGGCTCATGATTAATGGAATTAAATTTCTTGATGAAATTTGTTAACACTTTTCTGCATTTATAGTTCCATGAACAAACTCATATTTGCTAACGCCTTTACAACTCATACATCTCCATATCAGAACCCCTTTGCGGAAATTCTACCGCACGCTTTAGATAGTCTTTATACTTTTGTACAAATCGCTCTTTTCTGAAAATCACTTACGCGCGAATGGTTGACAACATGACACCACCTTTCAATACATATCTCAAGAGTAATTTGAGGTGGTGAGCTCATTTTAGCGCCCATGGATAGAAAATAACCGAAACATTTACTATGTGAAACATATGATAGGAGTTTCTTTGGCAGATTTATAGATGGATAGAAACAATATACTTACATATACACAATTCATTATAATTGAAAAACATGTTTTTTTTTTCAGGTATATTGTCTAACTTGACATGTAATAATCAGTTTAATAAAGAAACAGTTTGCCAATTTGATGGAATTTCTGCTCTTGTTCGTACTATTATGAATGCTGGCGATAGAGAGGAAATTACAGAACCTGCAGTCTGCGCTTTGAGACACTTGACATCACGACACGATAAATCAGAGTTGGCGCAAAATCAAGTCAGGTAAGTGGAATAATCTTCAGATGGTCCAAATGAAACATTAATGCCCGTATGCACCGACATAATTTAATCAGGATTAGGCGTTAAGCCGTATTAAAAATCATAAACGGCATGCACCTTCTACAATTTTAACCTTAAGCGCGTTTAATTTTAATCCGCCCACGTCCGAGGATTAAGTTCTTAAACTAGTTTAAATAAATAACATAATAACATAACCTTTGAAATTGAGGCTTTTGTTTTCGTCCTAGCAAGTTCGATAATTAACTTGGAAGATGAAATAATATTAGATGATATGAATATTTTAGAAATAATTGCTTATGTTTTTCGAAGAAGAGAACTAAGGCCCGTATTTATAAACGATACTCCAGCCGATACTCAGCTCATGCTTCGCCAAGTACGAGATCGTTCTCAACCGAGAGAGACCATTTATAAACAGTATTTCGTGAATTATCGGTGAAGTATCGGTCGAGTATAGGATTTCAGAGACTTTCATATTTATTTGGTAATTTTATATTGGGACTTGGCGAATCTTAGATGGCGTCAATGTTATTATGTAAATATGTCTCTTGAATCGCTGAAAGACTGACTTATATAGCGAAGATCACCGGACACAAGCTACAATATAATATACACTTTATATAAGAAAGTAGACATGGAATCATAGAAACTTTGCTACTTGTTGCATAGAATTTCCAGAATAGAAAACTACTTGTACAGAATCTTAAACAAACTAGCAATTTAGTAATGGTTAATATTTGATATTGATAGTTCACGATTATCCGCTTTCAATAATGGTTCGTTTAAAAAATGTAATATCGCCTCAATAATAGTGGCCTTTGAAAACCGAAACCTTTTCCGAAGTTCTACATCCGAGAAAAACTCAAATGGATTATTGCCATCTCGTATAAATTTTTTACTAACACGTTGTCTTCGTTAGTTTTCTGCTCTATTACGTCCAAATATTCAAAAACCTTGTCCATTCTTATATTGTCTACGATAGTAAAATCAAAAAATTAAAATGTAAAAACATAACAAACAGTAATATAACCTTAAAAACCGTTTGACGGTTCGACGAAAAATCTCAACCAATGGCTGGGCAGAAGCAATACTCAAGCCACCGTCGACCGATACTTAAGCAAGCAAAGCTGTGAGCTCTGGCTTGAGCATGAGAATGGTTTATTATAAACCGCAATCGAAGCCAAGTCTCGTACTTGAGACTCGACTTATGCTTGAGCATCGTTTATAATACGGACCTAACCAGGTCCAATCATTTTGATACACTAGATGAAATGTTTTTATAAACTCTTTCAAATCCAAAATTGTGATCATTATGATAATATTTTTGATTATTATTCGCAATATGCGACAGAGCTGATTCGAAATTTCCCTTTTAATTATTATATCACTTGACTTAGCTGTTGATGCTTAGTCGTTGATCTAAAGGTGAAGTGTTTATTACTGTGCCTACTAGAGTTTTTAGCTGGTTGAGGAAAAATAAATGCATTATGTTTTCGGTAGATCGCTATTATGATCGATATCTCAAAGTATCCGTGAATCAATATCCCATTTATGCTCGCTGGAAAAGTACATTTCGCACTACAAAAATTATTGTGTTGTTTTTTGTTTGTCCGGTCCATTCAGTTGAATCATAGGGTGTCCAAATGGAAGGTAACAAGGGAAAAATTCGGTACATTTCCTTCAATATTTTTTAACGTATTTGGACAAAAATGTAAAGCCGCACTTAATGTAGCTGTTTCTTTTCAGGGTTGTTGGAGGTATACCCGTAATCGTGCGCTTACTGAATCCACCATCTCGCTGGCCATTGGTGAAAGCTGTCATCGGGTTAATACGTAATCTGGCTTTATGCCAGGACAATTTTGCCCCCTTGAGAGAATCATGTGCTATAAACTATTTGGTGCAATTATTGATGAGAGCTTATCAAGACATTCAAAGGGTAACTATTTTTCTATAGCAACCCTTTTTATGAGACTATGAAAATTACCATGTTTGCATACAATTTTGTTTCATTTCAGCGCGCCAGCCTGCCGACCGGTGGCAGCCAACAGCCAGGAACGTATGCTGATGGAGTTCGTATGGAAGAAATTATTGAAGGTAATCAAAAATCTTGCAAGTTCGAACTTCACCTGAGTATTGTTGATAATTATGTTTTAGGTACTGTCGGTGCTCTACATATTCTGGCTCGAGAATTTTATAACCGCGAACAGATTCGTCAACAAGGCGTCATTCCGGTGTTTGTTCAACTTCTCTTCAACGATATTGAAAACATCCAGCGCGTCGCAGCCGGTGTACTTTGCGAGTTAGCCGCTGATAAAGAAGGTGCTGATTTGATCGAACAAGAAGGAGCCACGGCGCCATTGACTGAACTTTTACACTCGAGAAATGAAGGTGAGAAATTAGTGTGTGTGAGAAATGAAGGTGAGTAATTGTACTTATTTGTTATCATTAAATTCAGGTGTAGCCACGTATGCTGCTGCTGTTTTGTTCCGTATGTCGGAGGACAAACCGCAAGATTATAAAAAGAGGCTTTCTATGGAGCTTTCCAGCTCCTTATTTAGAGAGGAAAATCTTTGGAATCCTGATCTAGGCATGGGAGCAGACTTCCAAGTAAGTAATTTTTCTACTAATATTTAATTAAGTGCCATCAATAATGCAAATGGGGTCGCACTTGACGGGATATAAAAAGGTGAGGTAAGATGCAGTGTAAAATGTTTCCAAGTTTCATTATATTTTTAATTTCAAATTTTAGTTTTGTTATACTGTACAGGATGTCCCGCAAATTAGAAGCCAACTGTTCAATTGTAGATTTATTGCATACAGGTAGTAAGATTGATATGATAAAATAATGATTCTTCCGTAAGGGTACATGCGCACCGGCGACCGAGCTGGACGATACGATACTGATAGTCCGAGCGATTGCGCACATAAAATGCGAGTTTTTTAGTGCTTTCAGTTGTGGGTTAAAGCTTGACTTCGGAAGTTCAAGGTCATATTTTCCCTGGATTTTCTAGTGATTGGAGACACCGGTAATTAGAAGAGCGATTAGAGCGTTATTGTCTAACATCGAGTTAATGTCTAACATTGTTAAGTGACTAGACAACCGACATATTTTTTTGCGCAAAATCTATGAATACTATATGATTTTAAAAAGAAGTCAAAATTGTAAACAAATGATTAGTGCATCAACCAAAAAAAAATGAGTTGATTTCATCCACCAAATAAAAAGTTCTGGTAGTTTTTGTATCACCACACTCAAGAATTCGCCACTTGTCCAAACGGCTGAACTCGATTGTTTTATCAAATTATGAATCTTGCATAAGAACACATTCACAGCGAGTTTTACCGAAATACATAGTACCATTCTTGCGATATTTCAAAAAAGATAAATTTTTTGAAGAAATTTTAAATTTGTTCACAAAAGTTAGGTCAGATCGTCTTCTTTTGGTTCAAAGAATATCGCAGTATTCTTTTGATCATGTGCTTATGAGACACCCTGTATATGAGCGCGATACAGATATATGTGTTGATTTTCAAATTCTAATTTATTTATTTAATGTTATTCAGCAAATTCTCCAGTGAAGTACATTTTTGAGCCTCATTGTATGATAGAAACAAGCGCTTTATCTACATGCTTACCAGACAAAGTCGAAACCAACACTTAGAAAGTGAAAGTGTTTTTTGCAATTATTGCTGTTATATTATATAAGTTTTTCATTATTGTTGTAAAAAATATACGACCCGGAGCAGAACTTCCGAATTTCAATATGTTGACAGCTATATGAGCAGAAGTTTAATTCGGATTTTGACACTCTGAATATGAAAAAATGGCCTAATTCAGAAGCGGTATAAACATTTTATTAATTTTGCCTCATTAATTCTAATTTTTATTGTTAACAGATTGGCATCTTTTTGCGTACACCCTGTGCATACTGTATTAGCTATGTGTGTTTGAAAATGATAGTTATATTAGAAAATAATCGCTATAATCATTTTAATGCGTAGATAGAAAAAGCCTGATTAATTCATTTCGATTGTTATGTTATGTTTAGTTTGTCTGTTTATTTTGGCTATTTAGATATGAATTTATATATTTGTTTTTTTTTGCATTTTTTTCTTTGGTTATTTTAGGATATTTTGAGCCCTGAACCTTATGATACTATGTATGCACAAGGTCCACCAAGTGTTCAAGGCAGCCACGCAGGCAGGCCTTATCAGCAAGGTAATTTTTTTTTTATTCTTATATTTGTCAAATATTTCGAGATTCGGACTAAAAACAACAAATTCAGAAAAAAATAGTACCTACTACCATAATTATTTCAGTTAAACCGAAAATGTTAACAACCTAACTGAATGCACGGTTCTCCCATTCTAACCTTCGACCTTTTCTTTGCTTCCACTCGGGTCTTTTTGCATCCTTTATATTTCGCACGTATCTAATTCTCAGCCTCAGTGTGATCAATTCTAGGCGTTCTTCAGTGCTTAGAAGTCTCAATAACACTTCATTAATTTATCCCTAATCGCCTCCTTACCTACCTACCTAATTCGGAATTAACGCTTTTATAAATATGAAAACTGAACTGAAAATAGTTTTGGGTTTCTGAAAATTTTCGGATTTCTCAGAAAATGAGGTGGTATTTACGATGTTTTCAAGTGCACTGGGCCAATAAATTACAAAAAACTACCTAACATAAATTACTAAAAGACAAAAAAATGTTTTTTTGTTGTTTCCTCAGTTATTCAGATTCATTGAAACTTACGATGTACATAAGTAAAGCAAATCAACATAAACGATGTTAAATCTTACAGATCGTCTGAATGTTTTGCAAGCACTCAAATATTAGGTTTTGTGCTGCCGATGGTGACTTCCCAAGTCAATAAATAGTTATTTTCGGCCCGATTGTCAGCTATTTCCAATAAGATTAGTTAAACATGTACTTAAATTTATTGGTGCAGTGCATTCAAGTTATTTTTAATTTGTGAATTACATCAAGCTGGCACTTTTCCAGGATTCTAACAAGGCATCTAACAGCTTTAAATTATAAAGGTGATCTGTATGCTCAATTTTGCATGTACATTTTTTCAATTGTTTTGAAGTTATTTTGCATGTAGTTTTCTCTAAATGATTTGCGAGTTCTCACCAGCGTAACACGTATTGCTGTTGTGTGAAGAACGGAATTTAATTTTTTTCTGAGAAAAGCTTTTGTTTTTGCTTTAAAAATTATATTTTACTGTTATATTAGTCTACGATTATCATATATATTTGGTCACAATATCTACAACATGTATCCCTAGCGGGTGCCCGTTTTATCAGCCTCAGAAATGGTGAGAACGAGATCGCTTAAATTGGGTACAAAGTTGATCATTTTTTGAGTTCTGTCAAATTCCGTTTTAAAATTTGGAAAATTGTGCCTGCTTCCACAGGCATTCTGAAGAGATCGTAATTCGGAGATAATTTCTTTATTTTTCCGTGATTATTTTTAAAGGCATAACCGGAAACGATTGATACATTTTCATGGAAAATTTTATTTTCTACAAATCGGTGATGTGATATTTCTATTCGGGCTTCAATTTTCGGCAGCCACAACAACTTCAATTTTTTTCTTCAAGTTCGCTGTATATCTTACGTATGTCATACATACTTGTGGACGCAACTCGATGTTCCACCGCGTTTTTGTTTATTCGTGACACTTTCTTTACTTTTATTATCCATTTAGATGATCTTTTAAATAGTTATAAACACCCACACTCAAGAATACAGAATTTAATAATATCAAACAAATTGATATAAAGGGTTGTAAAATCACCACAATTGTGATTTTTGGGGCTTCTCCTGTACGTGATTCATGTATCTTTATATAGTTATTTCTTGTGTTCATGTGTATGTCACTGGACCGATTTGGATGAAAGTTTTTGTGCGTGTTCAAGGTGATTTGAAAATGGTTTAGATTCAGAAAATGTTTTTTTAATTTATTTTTTATTTGTAAGAAGTTGTTGATTTTGGAATGTTTCATATTGGATCCGCTGGACTGCGCTACCACAACTTAACTTCACCACCCCATCCTAACCTACAAATTTATTTATAAGTCTGTCCCGACCACCGATGCCAAGCCTACGGATATATCCGTAGATATGCGACATGCGGACAGCTAATATCTTATAATTTTATTTTTGATTTATTAAATTTTGTAACCGGAGACTGTATACAATTCATAGAATCTTTTTCATAAACCAATCAAACAATATGATTTGGCTTACATGCACTCCGAAGTTCAATAAACATATATAAAATTTGTGGTACACGTGTAAATCCCTCTTATGGGCCATACACGCAAAGTACTAATTGAAACCGTCAGTATTTTTTCTTACACATGGTGAGCTTTGTGGTCCGAGCTGTATTATACTACCAAAAGTAAAAACATTAGAAACAATCTGAAAAGAAGTTTTTAAATGGGATTGAGTTAATTTATGTTTCATTTTATTTTTAGATTTTTCAAAATTTTGCAAAGAAAAAGATTTGGTGTCATTCTCCACCTGAAAATTTTAAGCAAATATGCAAAATGGGTATGATGAAAATTTTGGAACCGTCGCAAAGCTCGAAATATGTTCGTACTTAATTAGGAACTTTAACCGCTCTGGTGATGCCGAAAAATTAATGTTTTCTTTTTAAATCGCTGATTTTGAATTGAATCAGCATTAAACTGCTGATTAGAAACTCTGGTAAGAGGGATAAATAGCGACAGCAAGTAATTCGGCGCTGATGTAAAATACATGGACGAAATAGAGTAAAAGTTTCGGGAGTGTTATTTTCACGCTTTATCCATCTGATGAGAAGTAGTAGGTTGAAGGCTGCGTATACGTTTTTAACTTCCGGAAGTGTTAACGGTATTGGAGATTTTATCGTTATAAAATATATATCGATATATAAAAGCATAATTTATTTCTTCTTCTTGAAATTACCCTCCTTCCGTTAAAAGTTTTTTAAAGTGTGCATCCCATTCTTTGTCTGATATTGGTGAAATTAAATTCGATCGTTTCTTTTCTAATTGTTTATCGTCTTCCAACTTTCGGTACTTCTTCGACCTCCTTAGTAAGGGTCTATTTTCTGGCACTTTTACGTCCATGCTACATTTTTCTTGCCACTAATAATTCTTCTTACCTTTGATTGTGGTCTCTTGTAATTTTCTGTTTTTTGAGATCAGTAAATCTCTTCCCCCATTTCTCTCTCAATCTCAACATCCCACCAATATGGTTTTCTGCTCTTCAATTTTTCTTCCACTAAACCACTAAATTTGGGTTTCGGCTGGAACATGCGCTGAGTTTTTCGTTAAGTCGTTTTTATATAGGCTTTTTACGCTGTCATGCTGTGGGCTTAGTAGGTTGTATCTACAGTGATCAATTTATTCTATCCCTGTGTCCTCCAGCTGTTGTTGATGAAGGTTTTGGTCTTGATAAGGGAATATAATTTTCGCCCAGACAATAGCAATCACTTCCGCATGTTCGTCCTCGTCTTGCCCTGACGTCTTCTATTTTGTTTAATAATAAGATAGTAAATTACTGGTTTCAGATTTTGGGATTGTTTGGTTCAGGTGTATCTGTGTATTTCCCTGTGTTGAAAAAAGTAATTTTGAATTTTTAAGTATTTACTCGCATACCGTAATTAATCGGTTTCCATTGTCGTTAACAGTCTCTTCTCCGAATCGACCCACCGTCAGATCATTCAACTTTTTACCTCTTCTGCTGTTTATGTCTCCCCATATAGCGATTTATCTAGATGTGCTGACCGTTGATATTTTGTTGTAAATTTGTTCGAAGAACTTGTCTTTTTCGATTATGTAATCGCCATCGTTTATTGCATATATTTCAAAAATCGTCAGATTCTTTTCCATTTTTCTTTGTTTCTGATAGTACCGCGAGATGTACCTTCATTCTCCTGATTTCGTAAACTATTTGGTTGATTTTTCGACTCATTCCTTGTACGTTCAACGACAAAAATAATTGTCCTTTTTCGTTGCTTGGGTCGTCTTATTGGGTTTTTCTTTCCATTCCGAGGCGTTGGAGTGGTTTTTTTTTACATTCTGTTTTTACGAGTACCAGAGAGTTAATCTGATGTCCCGACGCCCAACCTGGAGGACCGGGTAATTTTTGATCGGGGTTTTCTGCTCCTAGCCTTTAACGATTTCAACTTCGTAACTACAAGGCAACAGTTTCTTCACCTGTGGTTCTAGACAGGAGCCCTTACAGGAATCTATCATTCGGTCTAGATAAACCCTGGTTTTTACCAAAGTTGTTACTCCTTCCTCTCCTTTCCCGCTGGTGCAATGGGGCCCCAGGCTTGGGACTGGTATAACGGAGTATATTTTAATTTTTCTTATAATATAATTTCGCTCACCATGTATGTTTTTTAATTGACTGTTATCTGTTCAGTTGCTATTTAATTAGCAAGTAATTTTTGTTGTTGACAATAACATGTGTGCTTTGTTTTATTCGTAATTAATTGTGAAATTTACCGTTACATTGATCTATTTTTGGTTCAATAGGCTATGACCAGATACCCATAAGCATTCCAATGGATATCGGTTCACCCTTAGACGCAATGGACGTAACAGGGACAGAACCAGATTTAAATTTTGATCAGTTGCCCGCACCACCTCAAGACAACAACCAGGTGGCAGCATGGTACGATACTGATTTGTAATAACATCAACGTTGCTGCAAGTTAGATTTAGTTCTTCTAAATAAAATAAAGGCACTTGGTCTGTGAATGAGAGTTTGTGCATGACAAGCCAAGTGCTTGATTTACATGCGCAATATAAGTAAGTATGAATAATGTAGGTGATGTGGTCAAATCAGTGCCCTACCATATCACATCTTTATTACTGTTTTTTTATTTTTGATATGGTTATTAGTGTACAGGGTTCGGTAAGTCATTGCAGGGGGGTTTTATTATTAAGTAACTAAAGATATATTGTCTTATGCCGCATTCGGAAAGAGCTCAAATGTCTAGAGGTGTTAAAATTGTGACTTTAACAATCAAACTTACTAATGCTATTAATTACTAAAACGACTTGGAATTATTTATCTTTTCAAGTGTAATATTTTTGCTATTAATTCCTCTTAAAAAAATAATGTAAATATGTTCCTTAAGTTTCCATTCAATTTGGCAAAGAATATTTATATCTTTACATCTAACAATATAATATCGATTTATTATACCGCAATAGGGTTTGAACGAATAACTTGTTGATCCTATTACTACCTTTTTCCTTTATCAGAAAGTAGATAATTTAATCTGCTTGAAATTCGGTTGACCAATTCTTAGCCTTGAATGAGTACGTTTTTTGTAGCTTCCTGTAGCTGAAACTAATTGTTCTTGAGAATTGTATATTAAGGATTTATACCTGAAATTACTTACGCCAAAACCTACTGCAAGGATCCGACTTTTCAAAAAAATCTTCATTGCTGTCAGCATAAGCTATTCAGTTATAAAAGTTTATGTTTTCGGCTCTTAAAATCAAGTTTGCATTTATTTATGATCATATCACAGAAATTAAAAGTTTCTCAAAATATAGATTTAATGGTAAAATTAGTATTATAGTGAAACTTTATCAGATGCCCTAGCATAAAGGCAGTAAAGTTTTATGACGACACCGAGCTTAATAATGTTTAAGTGGATACGTGTTTTCTTTGGTTGATTGTCAATTTAATCAAGAATTGTAAATTTGAAGAAATTTACAGTTCCTCATTAGATTTATTTTCTGAGATAATGAGAGCAACAAGGACACATGCAAAATAACTTTTTAATTGCCTAGTTAAAAGGTTTGGAAAATAAAAACATTTTCAATGATAAATTAAAATATGGGATAAAAAGCATTTAAACAAATTTGAGTCCTGAGTGCATTTGAGATGCAAGACGCGTGTCCTAGTTGTTTTTGTATAGTGCCGTTATTGTATCGCACAACTTTTACTTTCTTTGATTTCGTCTGAAGGTTCATATTTAACTGTATTTAGTATATAAAATTTATCGTAAAAGTATTCTTAATACAGGGTAGTTTGAATCCATCTTTATGAAAAAGGCTATTGCCTGCTGTATAACCAACTAATGGGTTTATGCATGTACTTTATAGAATTGGATATCAATAAATTTCTTGATAATTGTATTAGATGCTAGGTTTTTCTGTTTCATTTATGCAATGTTCAATAGACAACGTCTAATGGATAGGAATCCTGCATGTTTCAGAAGTTAATCAAAAGGGTTTCCCCGTCATTCTGGTCATCTGACATACATCTTTATTGCAGTTAAAAATGAAAATTTATTTCGCCGGATAGTTCAAGTCAGAAACTAATACAGCAATCATTTGTTTTTATTTACTTAGAACTTTGATGTTCTTTGCAATCAAATTTAATTCAATAATTGCCAAATCTCTTGCTTTCCTGCTCTAGAACATGTCGACAAGTGGCAAATTCTCGAATATATACGACCCTTTTATTTTTATAACTATCAAAATCTAATAGCTTTTTATCCGTCTGATTCCAATAAACCCTATGCTCGATGTCCTGATTCATGACATAAGCATTCCGTGGAATCACAATAAATTATTGATGACTCCGCTAAAGAGAAGCGGGTTTCTATCGAATAATTAATGGCCAATGTTAGTGTCACTGTTGACCAGCAGCCTATGGTTCCCGCAGGAAAAAAGGCTCGGGTTTTTTATTTACTTGCGTAATATTGGCTGCCTAAGTGGTTTTTGTGGGTTTTTTTCCATTGCACAATTTGTTGTGCAGTTCGTTAGATGCAATTTCGAAATTTGAATCCAGACAATGTCGATTGTAGGATATGCGTATTCAAGGCCGTTTCCGTAAATATTTAAATATTTTTACAAGCGTTCAGTACTTGAAGAAACTAAGAAGTGAAATTGTTTCGCGTGCACGAGGACGACATTGGTTTTCAATGAAAGAAATGGAAATCATGAAGTAACTTCAGTTCTTCAGGAGGAAAATTCTGCGAAACTGGTTCGGTGAGTAATAGAAAAAGAAATAACCTTAGGTTTTGGTAGTATTGGCTGCAGAGCCCACCAACTCCTTTCGGACAATAGCAGAGCAGCCAGGAATATCACTCGGGACTGTAAAAAATTGTGCTGCCGAATATCTATTTCGACGATGACTACATTTTTTCTAAATATAAATGTTAACAATTGTCGATATTCAGTGACATAAACCTTCATATATTTTGAGAAATACATACACAATACCCTCAAAAAGTTAAGATTTGACCTGTTATTCTTGGAAATAGTAATAAGAAGTTATTGATCCCGTTATCCCCCATGAGCTAGAAACTCAAATTGAGGCCGAGATTAATTCAGTTTTACAGGAAGGATTTATTCCGGCAAGGGACATTCCAGCAGGATGGTGCTCCACCTCAATATCTCCTTCCGATCCAAAAGTGGCAGTGGTTAAAGGAGACTAATTCAATGGCCTCCAAGATCACCGGATTTAACATCCTTGACTTCTTTTTTTGGGGACATCTTAAATCCATTGTTCATAAAAGACAACCTGTTGATACTGAAGATTTTGAATGGCGAATTTCAGCAGAATACAATTTCAAACTAACATCAAACATGATAATCTTATTTCATACTTTTTTACACACCTATTTTGCGCAAATTTTAAAATGTGAAAAAACAGCGCCAAATCTCAATGGTTGGCCAGGATCACACGCAACAGCTGATCGCGCTATTCGCTCGTAAAACAATAAACATTTGAAAATCCAAATATTCCTCCCCTAATCCCTAACACAGATCGTTTGGCAAAAATAATTAGTTTATTTTGAGATATGAGAAACAGCGCGAAATATAACTTCGGTTCGCCAGGACCACACGCAATCTCTTGCGGCCCGACCGCTCATAATACAAGAAAAATGCAAATACTGGGATTCCAGCCCCTAAAAATCCCTACCACGAATTGTTTAACAAAAATAATTTGTGGTAATTTTGAAATATGGAAAAACAGCGCGAAATCTGAATGGTTTGCTAGTATCACACACAGACTCTTTAGGTGCTATCCGCTTAAAAACAGTAAAAAATATTTAAATGGATCTTGGGCTTTAAAAATCCCTAGCACAAATCGTTTGACAAAAATACTTTAAGTAAATTTTGCAATAAAGTAATCACGAAATCTTAATGGTTAGCTGGATCGCACCCAACCTATTTAGGCGCCCTCAGCTCATAAAACAATAAACAGTAAAAAATGCAGATTCTCTAAAAGATCCTAGGAAATCGTTTAACAGAAGCAGCGCTAAATCATAATGGTTGGTCAGGATCACATGTAAACTTTAAGCCGCTATCCGCTCATAAACCAATAATAAAAACAAATGTAAATACTCGTTCCAAATCTAGTCCCTGAAAATCACTAGCACGAATCGTTTAGCAAAATAATTTGATTACATTTTGAAATAACGAAAACATCGCGAAATTTAAATTGTTGGCCATGACTGATAGCATACTAAGGCGCTATCCGCTGCAAATTAATGCTAAACTTACCGAAAGCTGCATTGTACCCCCTGGAAAGAATGTAAAAAATATTGTCTTATAACAGAAACTTTGTCCAAAACCCAGTTATGTTATTTGAATGAAAGGGAAACGCGATAGAAAACTCAATAAAACTTCAGTTGGTTCTCAGAAAACTAGTCATTTCAAGCTAATTTAATAATTAATGAATGCTTTCCTCTGCTCGCATCATTAAAAGCCACATAATAATTAACTTGATTTTTACACGAGTTCTCAGACCAGACTTTTGCTCCGTATTTATAAAACTTTCAGGTCATGCAGCTTAGTTGTGCAAAAGTAGAATTAACACATTAATGAAAAATAAATTTAAATAAAATATTACAGAGAACCAGAATTTAAATTAATTGGAACCCTAAAACTGTGAACTAAATCCTTATAATAAGGATCAGGAACTGTGTTGAGTTGCGCTTTTGAGTTGATGCCACTCTGTGAGTTGGTGAGTCTCACTGCGCCGCACTCTAAATGCGCTTGTGGCGGAATAATTTTTGAAATCAGAACTTTTAAAGAACACTTTTAATTAGTTGAAATTTCGCTCGGAAATTGAGTAACAGTTTAATTTTTAAGTGATTTCTTCGAGGTTTTTTGTTTAGTCATAATTTTTAGAAACATGAAATAAATTCGGTTTTTAATTTTAGTTTTGGCGTTCCGCATTAATCACTGCAGCTGAGCGAAATTCAGACAAACATAAATGGCTCTACATTTAAAATTAAATTAGTGAGAGATCGGCGTTTGGAGCGTTTTTCGATTCATTTTTGTTGACTTTCGTTAAGTCGAAACGTAAATTTTTTTTGTAGAAATATTGCCTTACGAACATGTACTCTTCACAAAAATGTCAACAATAAACAAACTAAAATTGAACTGCCAAGCAATAGCAAAGCAATGAATCATCAAAAGGGCAAACAAGCACATGATTATATATTTATTTATTCTGTAGTTTTGTCCGAAAAAGTGTATGAATGTAATTTGGCTACCGATAGTGGACGAAATAGGTCGATAGTCATTTGTGTTCTGTGAGTCGAGTTCTTAAATGGGAAGTATAGAATCATTGTGGCCTTTATCATACCTGCTAACTGCAGGATTAGTTCTATTCGAAGTGGATTTTCATTGTGTGTAGTGAACTTTTTGATGATTAATGGGTACAAAATGGAGAATGGGGTGCCAGCTTGCAGGAAGCAGGTAAGAATGATCTATTGGTCATCAATGATCTGAATCTTTTAGCTTGAACTGAGTTTAGTTTCTCGACAAGCAACTGAAGTTTTATGGATTCTTTATATTTCTCTCTCTTTGCTTTGTTGATTGCAAATAAGTTTGCTTTTGGACAGATGTACTAAACATTTTTTCCCAGGTGGCCCATTCAGCTTTGGGTAAGTTTGGTATTACTTTGCCTCTGGTTCCCATATAGCGTTAGAACTTTAAATCCCATATTCATCAACTGATTCGTAGGGTAGATTTGATTCGATTGAGCTATTGGTTCTTTCATAGTTAATTTTGAAACTGGGAATATTTTGGCAGGCTTCAAATTTTTTATCAAGCTCAGCTTAAGCTTTTCACGAAAGAACCGTTTCAGATATGCAAATATGGGCACTAAATTTATGTTCTTCTGTCGAAAAGTCAAGAGTTTTAGTTTTGCCTGTTTTGTTTAATTGCGAAATACTGTGAAACATGACATCGCCTTTTTCGAGGTTGATCTAGAACCATTTGAGCCAGAGAGTTCGTTTTTATACCATTGGATAGAGAATTGGTAATTCTATTAATTATAACTGTGCGTTACTAAAAGCACACGAAATTTGAATATTAGACATTTAGGTAAACATTTTCTCTTCTAGTTTGTGTCTGCTGTTGCGTAAAAGCGTTCGATTTCAAGTCAACATTTACAAAACGCGAAAAAAAATTCAGGATTTCATGTAATTTGAATGTATTTTGGAAGGCTTGAATAAATCGACGACATTTAAATCGCACTCTTTACTGATCGCACAAATCTAAACTTGTAGAGTACTTTTCGTTTCTTAAAAATCGAGTTTGAAAAACTTAATTCAAAATGTGTCCTGCACCAGTTTTTTCAAATCCTGCGAAAATTTTCTCAACGACTAGTGAAGTTCGCAATTTTGACGTTACATTTAGAGCACACTGTTTTTTACTGAATGCACATCTCTGAACTTGCAATTTTTCGTTCCTCAATTTTTTGTTATAATTCATAGCCTCCCACTGTGCCGCCCTTTGAATTAGGCTTAGCATTTAACCCAGGGGCGAATAAAAGGTCCGCGGCTTAAATCCAACAAAAAAACATTCTTTATGAGTAACGTTTTACCAAATGAGCAACGCAACTGGTGAGTGACTACCGGTGCGTTGGGTTGGCGCACCAAGCAATTTCGGCATCACTGGGCCAACTCCTGAAAATTCCCTGGACTACCCATGCCTAATAAGGATAAAACAAAGATACCTCAAGGTTGAAGGTTGCTGGAGGAATGGAGACCACCAGGGTGAATTCTAAGTGCTTGAAATCACAAGATATTTTCAACTGTGATTTTCCGCGCAGTTTTTAAGGATTATACGGATTTAACTCTGTGACTCATTCCAAGAGTCCTCACTTTATTTCTTCTTTATTTCAGTTCAATTATACTTTAAAATGCATTCAATTAATTTGTAGTCTTTAATTCAACATTTTACTGCGCTAATTACTTTCATTCTATTGCTCGGTTATTACGTTTAATTTAAATTTTTATTAAGTTCTTATAGTCCCTTCTTCCCCCACAATACGCTGTCGAAAACTGCAAATTTCCAAAGAGACTGCCAACTATTGACTTTCATTCTGTATAGTAACCTAATAGTTTTCTCCTTGTAACATTTATATTTAATAAATTATGGAAAACTCATGATTTTAAACTTTATTCTCATGCTTGTCACTATCTACGCCAGTGGCAGAATCGATTAATTTCTAGTACTTCTTTATTTATTTTTCTGTACACAAGAATTTTAGCAGTATTTCGCACGGGCAAAAAGGAGAAAAAATTTCAAATTTCCTCCCGATATAAGTAAGTTTTGAATGAAAGCTTTTGATATTCCATCTGCATCAGGTTGGTCACCTGACCCAAGTTCATTTTCTTGTTTTATTTAATCTTAATCTGTGTTCTAGTTGCTTGGTTCTATTTTTAGTTTACTATTTTAACCATTCTAACCATTATTGAACATATTTTATTCGGTGCTCTTGGGGATGTTTGCATGTAGTTTGGCGAGTAAGTTTTTCTGTTTATTTTTTTAATTTTTACGATATCCTTTAGGGCTCTGACTGTTACTATGTTGTTTTCTAGCGGCCGTGATCATGACTGTAATTGTCGAAAACGCTTTTTCACAATTCATATTTAAGAGTTATTTTATACCCGTGTATTACATGCACACCTCATACTAAAGGTTTGTTTGATTAATTTTTTTCCAAAAACAAACGGATTTTTAAATATTTCTCTACATATTTTAATTATATACCATTTGCGGCTGACTCTGAACTTCGCTTACCATGAGTGTATTGTCACATTTTTGCAATTGCTTGAACATTGTTAAGTTTTCAGTTTCTTGCACATTTAACAACCGTGAAAGATACAAACTATATTAAAAGGAATAAATTTTCTCTCGTTCCCGACTTATTTTTGTTAACATTTAATAATTAGTTGTTTGTTTACGAAAAACAGATTTGTTATTGTTAACATTATCCAATGCGTAAACTTATACATTTGTTTTCACTTCATTATCGTTACAAATAATCATGTCTACTTGGTGACCTCCTTGAAGATCGGGACCGACTTTATGAACTTAATTTTCTTCCTCTGCTTCAAGCGACTCCTGCTGCGACATTACGTTATTCAACGGTGCTTATACTTGGTGGCCTTCTCAAGTTCTCGGTTCTCCAATTCTCCATAGTAGTTTTACCTTTCGTCGAGCCGGTGTAACAGGCGGCAGTAGATTGAAACGCGCGCGATTGCTGTTTGAATTGAAATTGCGGTGTCGGTGCGTTTGTGTAATATAACAGGTGTTTTGTTAATTGCTTTCAACTAAATACTTGCTCGAATAATTTCCACAAACTTTTCGTTAAACGGAGCCCAATGATGACCGAAACCGTGGTGAACGTCCAAGAGGCGCCTAATAATAACGCTGCACCGAATAAGCCCCCAGGGGGTAACGATCAGCCCTTGTCCTGGATTAAAATTAATGTGGATTACTTCAAAACTACACCTGGATTGTTGAAAATTGCTGAATTTGTAAGTAGTCGAGTCGCATTCGTAGAATGTAATGCTTGTGTGTGACCTAAATTGGATATTATACAATCTGTTTACTGCATGCAACGGGGAATATTTACTACGATTCATAATTGCGTGTACCGTACTTAAACTGTGAGCGTTTAAGTGAAATGCCTTAAATGCAGTGTTAATGTGTCGAATGAAACTATGAATATGCATTGATTTACCTGCTGCTGATTAGGCTCGCATGAATAACAAATTCCAAATTTATTTGCCGATTGTTTATTTTTAGCTTCGAGCGAAAACAGCGACTAAAACAATATTAATAACTAGTGGACCTTGTAAACCATTTATCAACTTTTTGCTAGGTAAAATGCATGTTGCCGATACGCATAAATAGGAAATGGCAGTTTCATTAAATATTTCCTTGAGTTTCTTAGTCTGTACATTTGCTAATTAGTGCTGTTTATTGGTGCATATTTGAATATACGAGTATTAAGGAGAATACGTGGTGGTCTATTGATTGCAACCATTCTAGAATTTTGAAATATTGGTTGGGTGTTTGATTTAAACCACTAGGTCAAATAAAGTTTCGGTTATACCGGAATCATACGCAACTTTTTGTTTTTGACCGGACACCTTGTATGTGGGATGAAAGTTGTTAATATCTACATATTCATAAAAGCACTTTTGGCGTGTTAATTTGTATATTTCCATTTAGTCAACTAGTACTCTCCAGGCAACCCAATGACGTAGATTAAACTTGAAATAAACGTCGGTAAAGACACCTAACACACAATTGACGTACCTAAAATTGAGTATTTATGACGTTTGTACGACGTGAGTGTCAGGTCCATAAGACGTCAGGTAGACCACTACAAAAGACGAGATATATAGTCGTATTACGTCAGTAATGGCCGGAATGATCGTGATATTTAACGAGAGAATAAGTTAACTTTCGCTTTGATTGTAACATTTAATATGTAGTTTATCGCAGTCCAAACATTTTGTTTGTTACTTACTTACACAAGTTTATTTCACCTACTAATAAATGCGAGTGCAATTTTCTAGGAAATTGCGCCCTTTTGAAGAAATCTATACGAAAAGTGTGATTTTCGTTTACTAAAAAATATGAATAATAGTAAAGCCAGTCTTGAGCAATAAATCATTTGTATTGTATGTATTTCCACGAGATAGAAACTTACAGGACGTTTAAATAACGTTTTCAACTGATGTCAGTTCGCGTGCTTTAATTCTCATAGATTAAACGGCATATTAATAACTATGTCAAAACGTGACCAAAATCGACGTCGACTAAATGTCTACTCAAATTTGTGCTTCCCTGAGTCATTGGCAAAGCTACCTGATTTTGTGCATAAGAAATAAATAATGAGAATCGCGATTGGCCGTAAGCCTAGTGGAGTTCTGATTTTTTACCGAATAGAATGAAAACACAATTTAAATGTTTATTTTTCTGGTTTTCTTAAAAATTCCAAGAGATTTTAAGTTGATTGCCAAATAAATTTGTTTTTTAGATAGACGTCGAAGACGAGTTGTCCAATATTTACTAGCGTATTTCAAACTCACCTGACCGAAGAAGATCAATTTAATCAAATGCGTTCGTGATCATCGCTTGAAATTGATGAGTCGTTCCGACTTTTAGATTGCTCGGGCGTGGTTTTGCTGAGTGGCTTGCACCGTCAGTATAAGATTTACGCAGATGCGACGCGTTAGAAAAAATGTTTTTTCGCGTCCTAAAGGTGCCTAAAAGTTCGAAAAACCAACAAGTTTTGAGACCTAGTTTATTTTAAAATTCGGATCATGTAAAATTATAGTCGATTAGATTTTTAACTATCTTTTTATTGTTCATCTATAACTGGAAGTATTCATTTTGTGCAATAGTTTTATGCTTCTCCCAATAACTTTTTGTATCAAACTACGTCAGCTGAAAAGAGACAGCTGGACGGAAGTAAAAAATCAGGAGAATATAATGTAGTCATCAACTTCTATATTTACTTTGTTTTGCTTACATTAGCAAATAATCACTAAGAAATTTCGGAATTTTTCTGATAGGAATTGAAGAAAAATATTTACTTACTACTATTTAAACCATTATACAACTACCTCTAATATTA